CCTGCTCCCCGGGGGGAGCGAGGCTGGATCACTGGGCAGAGGCAAAAAGACCCATCTTGAGTTGCCCACCACTTGGGTTCGCTCCGGCTACCGTGGTTATCACGGAAGGAAAACGGTCGGTGCGTTTTGTTCTCAGCTGTGGTGCCGTTGGTGTCAGGTTGCGCGTGGAGAACTTACTGGAGTGTTGATGATCACAAGAGAGAGCCCCCATGAAAATAATTCTCGTTTAAAACTTCACGGGCTTTAGGATGGCCTGTGGGCACTTTCCTGTGTTGAGTCAAATTTCTGCACCTGTTCTGTAAAAATAAGCATTTCTGATGCCCTTTGGGATCATCAGGTATAAGGTGCAATGAGGCAATATATAAGGTGAGGTGTGATTCTGTCTCTGGCTGGGTAGTAAGCCTTACACTCTGAAAGATTTCCATTTCTGACCCTGGGATATGTTAAAAATCAGAGTACATGAAGGAAAGACTGACCCTTATTAGCGAAATTTCTAATATACGGGAGGTTGTGGTTTTATTAATCTGACTATAGAAAGCTGCTATCGTTAGTTATAATAGTGCAGGACGTATCGCAAAGAGGCTAAAATGTTTTGCGATCGAAACTCTAAATATGTCTACAAGGAACCCGTGATATTTTGATCTGTGAGACTACTTATTTTAGACAGATTCATCAATGATTACAAACCCCAATCTTTAATTTAAAAAGACCATGTGTACCCACACATTCTGAATTCGTGTTATCAATCAATAGTAAAGTCTTGTCTTCTGAAGATCACATAAGTAGTAATCACTAGTTTGGTTTTTTTTTTTTGGAAGTTACAGTAAACTGAACCATCTGGGAAGATGTAGACTTAAGAGATATATATATAAAATTACGGGTTTTTTTCTTTCTTTTTTTTTTTCTTTTTGTCCTGGAGTTTACCTTTTCATATAATTACGGTTTTGTGAAAATATTTTGTGTGGCGTGCTGTGCTCTGGTCACAAGGACCATAGAATGTGATTCACTATAAATATATGTCGTGCAGAGAACTTATGCTGTAAGAGGAGGATGAACACAGGTCTAAGGAAATAAAGATTAGCTTATTCTTTTGGCTGTCATTAGCTAGAAGAAACTTTTGCCCCTCTTGCTCCCCTTGGGTTTGCCCTGTGGGAATGTCACCTTTGCACAGACAGCAGGCCCCAGTGAGGCACTGTCAGCACAGAGCGGAGACGTTACACGTACCTCTCGATTTTTTGTGCTGATGTGACTTCAGAATTTTGTTGCGCTGAAGACAACAGATGGCATTTTTCGTTAATACGGACTCTTTCTCAATAAATTTGTTAGTACCAAAACTTTCCTCTCACCAGCCCGTCTCCATTCTGCGCTGCGTGCAGAAGCACGCCTTGACACTCCACTAAACTGAGTGGCATTCTAATATGCAGGAGAGGCCAGGGCTGAGAAATTATCTAATGACAGCCTTTGCACATACAAACCAGCCACAAGAGCCATCCACAGAGGCTAACATGCATTCAAGCCTTAATCCCTGCAGGTGTTAACTGAGGACCTACTAAGTTTCAAATACCTACTAAGTGTCAGGACCTACTACATGTCTTTGCATGTCAAACATGAAAGACAAATATACCTAAGGCATCGTCCTTGCCCCCAAGATGCTTTTAGCTTAGTGAGGGAGAGACAGAGGATTAGCCTAATCAAGATAGAAACATTCACAGGCCTCATGGGAACATATAACTTAGACTGGGAGGGGGCCAGAGACTGGAAAACGAGGTTAGATTCAACAGTGAACATCGTTGATGTCACCACCAGGTTATAACATGGCTGTGTGGATTGTCAAGGGGAATTGCAGGTTTGTGGAGTTTAAAAAAATAATAATAAATCTTTTGGCCGGGTGCGGTGGCTCATGCCTGTCATCCTAGCACTCTGGGAGGCTGAGGCGGGCGGATTGCTTGAGGTCTGGCATTCGAAACCAGCCTGAGCAAGAGCGAGACCCCGTCTCTATGCTAAAAATAGAAACAAATTCATTGGCCAACTAAAAATGTATGGAAAAAATTAGCCAGGCATGGTGGCACATGCCTGTAGTCTCAGCTACTCGGGAGGCTGAGGCAGGAGGATCGCTTGAGCCCAGGAGTTGGAGGTTGCTGTGAGCGAGGCTGACGCCACGGCACTCACTCTAGCCCAGGCAACAGAGCGAGACTGTGTCTCAAAAAATAAATAAATAATAAATAAATCTTTAGAACTGCATACAGCTTGAATTTTATATATATACACATTTGTGTGTGTGTGTGTGTGTGCATGTGTGTGTGTGTGTGTGAGTTATGTCTGAAGGTTTCAAGAAAGTCGGGCCCGGCCACACATGCCAACTAGGTAGCCCTGACCGTGGTTGTGAACTGTCTAGCACAGGCGACACGTCCCTTACAGCCCACTACTCAACCTGTCTCGTTTCTGCAAACATCAACACCCTTCCGTCTCTTCCCAGAGGGTCCCTCAGCGTTGCAGACTCGAGTTTATCTTCGCATCTTGGGTTCATCACCCATCAGTTCATTTTTCAAGACTATATAAATGATTCGGCTTGGGAACGCTGAGTGGTAAAATAACCAGAAAGGAGATTCATTCTTTTTTATCTCCCTCTACTGTCAAAAACTTAAATACAAAATATTTTGAATCCTGTCACTGGCCAGATCTGCCTACAAGGTAAGCAGTGGGGGCTGGGGGAGGGAGAGATGGTTATTTTAACTGACCGTGGTGTCCATTTGTGGGTAGTGCACAGGTATAGAAGGGTATTTAAAAAAAAAAATAAATAAAGGCAACAAATGAGCATTTCAAAGGCTCGTGCTCATTGCATATTTGGAGGGATTGTCTCAGACATAAGCTTTGACTATAATGAATTTTTGAAGTGAAGCCCCCAACAGCTTAAATCCAACATACCCAGGACCCGTTATCTTCTTGTAACCTCACTTCTCTTCCGGTTCTCTCCAATTTGGTCTCATATTCCATCCTTCACATAAGCTAGAGAACTTGAGTTTTCCTTTCATTCTTTTCCTTATCTATTGCTAAATTGGTCAATGAAACCCACCGGTCCTGTCCCTTACACCTCTCTAACAGTCATCCCTCCCTTCTTACCCTCCTCCTGTCACCGGGCTAGTTACCCTAGCCATCATTTCTCTCCCAGACTATCAGCTTCGGGCTTCTAAGGGATCTCTTGCCTCCAATTTTCTCTTACATCACCTCCACCTTGCACGTTCCCAGCAGAATCCCCTTCTCAAAATACACCACTGCTTAAAAACCTATGATCTCAAAGAGTATGAAATCTTTAGGATGGCATCAAGACACTTTTTCCCATTTGAAATCAGGAAACAAAGGAATTCTGGGCTCATCTTCTCCCATTCTCACTATGAATATGAAAGACTAAGCTCTAACTAGGCTGGATCGACAGAGTCATACTAACAATTTTCATACTCCCATGTCTTTATTTGTCCTGGAATTCCATTGCATCGCACACACCTCCACTTGATGAAATACTATTGCTCCATGTCACCTCCTTTCTGAAGTGATCCCCAATTCCTTAGATCAATTATTCACTTAGCAGCCCTTGCAAGAACTTGAGATCCCAAAGTGTCTAGCTGACAAATTGCAAATACTTTATCATTTTTCTTCTTCAAAAACCTTTAGTGAGGGCCAACTCTTGTACCAGGTACCGTAATAGGCCAGGAATACAGAGCTGAGCAAGACAAGTAAGGTTAGTTTTTATGCAACTTTGATTTTAGTAAAGAAAATAAACAGCAGGTTAAAAAAAAAAAAAAAAAAAAGATAGGCCGGGCGCGTGGGCTCATGCCTGTAATCCTAGCTCTCTGGGAGGCCGAGGCGGGCGGATCGCTCAAGGTCAGGAGTTTGAAACCAGCCTGAGCAAGAGCAAGACTCCATCTCTACTATAAATAAAAAGAAATTAATTGGCCAACTAATATATATATATAAAAAAAATCAGCCGGGCATGGTGGCGCATGCCTGTAGTCCCAGCTACTCGGGAGGCTGAGGCAGGAGGATCGCTTGAGCCCAGGAGTCTGAGGTTGCTGTGAGCGAGGCTGACACCACGGCACTCACTCTAGCCTGGGCAACAGAGTGAGACTCTGTCTCAAAAAAATAGAATAAAATAAAAAATAATTTGTAATATACAAACAGAATAATGTTCTAGAGTAATTAGGAAGATGAGGGGCAATTTTATATTAGTTGTCAAGAGAAGATCTCTCTCAAGAGGTGAGGCCCAATAACAAGACAGTGTCTCTCAGTGACTGTTTTGTTTTGTTTGGCTTTCGCTTAGTGTCAGTGCAGAACATTTTAAAGAAAAAAAGAAAAAGTGAGTCTTCATCATTTTAAGTTCCTGTGCTTATTTCAGAGAACGTTCTGGGAACCTAAACAACGACGACAACACACATCTAATTTTGTCTCTTGCTCCATAATGAGCCAACCCATAATTCAGTGTCTTAAAAACTACACGTTCCTCTTTCCCCATATATTTTTTGCTCATTAGTGTTACTTCTTGAGCTGTTTCCGTATTGTTTCTTTCCTTTCTGTGAAATGGTTTTTGCCTTGTTTTTTTAAACCTGGGACCACCAAGCTGTAAAGGTGTATATGTTTTTACCTGACAGTTACCACAGGTAGACTGTCAAAGCTGAGAAGAGTGAATCGATAACTTGTATTTGTTTTTAAAATTAAATTAATCCTTGATAAGAGTTGGCTATTTTTGGGTTTTTTTTTGTGTGTTTTTTTTTTTTTTTTTAGGAGTTAGTCTTTGACCACTAGTTTGATGCCATCTCCATTTTGGGCAACCTGTTGCACCAGCAGGCCCGTTACTCTCCACGACTAACTGTGTAAAGTGCTTAAAATGGAATAAATTGCTTTTCTACTTAAAACCCCCCTCCAAAAAAAAAAAAAATTATTTGTCAGCAATTATTTGTCTCTCCCAAGTCTGCGAGTTAGCAAAGGATTTGGTGACTTGAGCTCACCCAAAGAAGTCTGACTCCATCGTGTTTCTCTCGTCCCTTTTTTTCCCCCATGGAGACGGCAAGAGGAAGGAGCGCAAACAAGCTCCCGGGGGCAAGTGTTGTCCTATTTCCGCTTCCTAGCACGCCTGCTGGCAGCTCATTGGCTGGAGCCGGTCACGTGGCTGAGCCCCGGATGTTTCATCATGGCTGCGCCCAGCGGAAGGCACGGCGGCCTTGCGCGGCACGCGTCAGGGATGGGTGGGGAGTTTTGCCAAAGCAGCCGGTAACACACCTGGAATCCAGCGCTGCTTTTGCCACCAAACGTGTCCCTCCAGGCGTGTCCCTTGCTCTCTCTGGGGCTTTAGCATTCTCACAGGCAAGATAAAGAAGGTCACTTAATTGTCATGGGCAGTTCCTAGATGCCTGTCAGTCAAACTCTAAATCTCTCCAGGGCTTTTATTTTGCAAGGTTGGAGGGCATTTAGGGCAACTGGGCAAATAAGCCCCGATTCTGTTAGGAAAAGAACTAATAAGCCATAATCAGTTCTTTTTTCCTGAGACAGTGCCATGGCATCAGCCTCACTCACAGCAACCTCAAACTCCTGGATTCAAGCGACCCTCCTGTCTCAACCTCCCGAGTAGCTGGGACTACAGGCATGCACCACCATGCCCGTCTAGTTTTTTTCCTATATATTTTTAGTTGGCCAATTAATTTCTTTCTATTTTTAGTAGAGATGGGGTCTCGCTCTTGCTCAGGCTGGTCTCGAACTCCTGACCTCAAGCGATCTACTCACATTAGTCTCCCAGAGTGCTGGGATGACAAGCGTGAGCCACCCCCCCCCCCCCCCCCCCCCCCCCCAGGCCCCATAATCAGTTCTTATCAATGTTTTGTAACAGGGTATTGAGACTCTCTGATGCAGCTCAGTAGTGAAGATAAGGACAGAAAAAAAATCACAATGGAAAGGAACACTAAGTGGATCACAGGTCACTTGCCAACTCCTACAGGGATTATTTTAACCCCTTCAAGGGATGGTTGGGCACTCACAAAAGTGTAATGGTTAGGAGCTTGTTCCCCGGGTGAGTGCCCAGACACTCGAGTGGAAATCCTAAATATCCCCTTCGCTAGCTGTGCCTCAGCTTCCTCACTTGTAAAGGGAGATAACAAAAGTATACACTTTCTATTTTTGATGTATTGAATGAGATACAGCACATAAAGCTTAGAAAGTGTACATAGAACACAGTGCTCAATAAATATCAGACATATGTATTGCTTTTTTTTAGCCATCTGAAAGCCAAGTGTACGTGTATTTATTTAAATATATACGTGCATATTTATCTATGGAGGTGCTCTATGCCTGGGTGTGCGTTTATGTGCATATATAAATAAATATATAAGACTACACAAGGCCTTATTGTCTTAAATCCAGCCCAATTCGACTTTCCCTGGCCTCTGTAGACACTTGGCATTCCCCTCCACCTCTAACTCCAGAAAATTCTGAGATCTCCTCCAGTCTGTCCAGGTGGCCGCTGTGTTCTGAGCGAGAGGCCACCACAGACTGGATGGTTCTCCAGACAGATGAAGGGGGAACCCAGAAGGGCACATTTGCCGATTTATGCCCAGAAATGGAAGCAGCAGCTCTTTTCCCCCGCCTTACTTTTAGGCTTTTAGGCATCATGGTTGTGAAATATGGCTACAACATTCTTTTAAATCCTTTTAAGTAGCAGTCCTCTCCTCCTCTGCCCCTCCCCAGCACTATTAAGTCCCTCACAGGTGTCAATCGTCGGGGAAGTAGGAAGAACTGCACTTTAAAAGGATTTTAAATAATGTCTCCAAGAAATATAGCGGCAGAATGTTCGATGGGGATTACCAGCCAAGAGTGTGCTAGACGGGGGGGATGGGGGAAGGGCTCTCGCTTAAAAGGTCTTTAAATAATGTAAGTGTACTTCTTGGCAACGTTACTCAGAACCATTTAAAGAGCAGATATCCCTGGCTGCACCAACGCACCCACAAGAGAGACACTGGGGGAGACTGGTGACAAATGATATCCCTACACGGTTGACATTGTCGTGACACAGAGATTGCAAGCTTGGTCCAAAACGTTGAAAGCACCAGAGGCTGACTTAGCAAAGAGAACCTCCCTCTCTCTTTCTAAGGGTGAAAGGCAAATACTCCCAGAGAATGTTTGGACATTTGTTCGGTGACCTTCGAGGGAAGCATGCAGTGTCCGTGCTTTCTGAGAGAAGCTGCTGGAAAGGAGCAGTTACTTTATTTTCTTGGCTCCTTCACCCCTTTATAACAACTGAACTTGGGTCTAAAAAAATCATCAGAATCTAAACAGCCCACTCCCTCCTCCTCCCAGTCCAGCTTCCTTTGTCTCTGCAGGGTGGGTAGACAGGGAAGGGGCGTGGTGTGTTGTATGGATTAAGGGCTTTGGGAGTCAGAAAATCTGAGTCTGAAATCTGGTCTGCCACTGCTGGTGACTTTAGGAAAAGTATCATGACCTCACTGAGCCTCAGTCTTCTCATCCGCAAAATAGGGTTTAAAACATGCCTCCTCCTAGGGCGCAATGGAAACAAAGTGGGTAAAAAGCACTCGGCTCCAAGCCTCCCATATTTTAAGTGCTAATGCATGGCAGTTAGAGAAAGCTGTGACGTACAGAGGCTGTGATTTATAAGCGTGGTTTTAGTTGCTGAAGGCACAGGAGGTACCTCTTTTGGTTTAATCTGACTTGCTAGGCCCAAGAAATGAGTCTGATGCTCTCCGCTGGTACGTGTTTTAAGAATAGAGGTTGCTGCCTAAAAACTGCGGGCCAAGTGGAGCTTCCATCTTGAGATGGAAGAAATGAACCACCAACTGGAATATTCGGTGTGGACTTGGGCGGTTCCTTAGGCTACTTTACACATAGACCTTGCACTGCACAGATTGCAGTGGAAGGAAATTTCATGAGAAAATGGTTTTTTTCTTGTCCCAGAGATCAAACATGAAGTAGAAGAGACAGCTCAAAAAAAACAAACAAAAAAAAACATATGATCCAGCAACCCCACTTCTGGGCACATGACCAAAGGAATTGAAACTGGTACATTGAAGCAATATATATACATAAATATATGCACTTCCATGTTCAGTACAGCATTATTCACAATAGCCAATACGTGGAATCAACTCAAGTGTCTATTAATGGATAAATGAATAAAGAAAATGTGGTACACACATGCATAGGAATACTATACAGCCTTTAAAAAGGATGAAATCCTGTCATTTACGAGAACATGCATGGAACTGAAGGACATTGCGCTAAGTAAAAACAAGCCAGGCACAGAAAGACAAATCCCGTGTGATCTCACGTACACGTGGAATCTAGAAAAGTGGATCTCACAGAACCAGAGAGTGAAAAGGTGATTACCCGGGTCTGGCAGGGAGGAAGAGGGATGGGGAAAGGGGAGATATTGATCAAAGTTTCAGTTAAACTGGAGGAATGGTTTTTAGAGCTCTATTGCACTGCGTGATGATCACAGTTGAGACAGTATTGCTAAAAGAATACATTTTAACATTCTCACCAAAAAAAAAAAAGTGATAACTTTGCTTGATTTCATCTTTCTACGGTGTCCACTTAGACCAAAACATCACCTTGTACCCCGTATACACAATTATCAATAAATATACACATATATCAATAAATATACACATAAATCAATAAATATACATATAAACATACACAATTATCATTTGTTAATTAAAAATAAACAGACTCACAGGTTTTTGTGTTTTGTTTTTTTTTTTGAGACAGAGTCTCGCTCTGTTGCCCAGGCTAGAGTGAGTGCCGTGGCGTCAGCCTCGCTCACAGCAACCTCCAACTCCTGGGCTCAAGCGATCCTCCTGCCTCAGCCTCCCAAGTAGCTGGGACTACAGGCACGTGCCACCATGCCCGGCTAATTGGTTTTCTTCTGTGTATATTTTTAGTTGTTCAGCTAATTTCTTTTTATTTATAGTAGAGACAGAGTCTCACTCTTGCTCAGGCTGGTTTCGAACTCCTGACCTCAAGCGATCCTCCCGCCTCGGCCTCCCAGAGAGCTGGGATGACAGGCGTGAGCCACCACGCCCGGCCAGACTCACAGTTTTTGCTTCATAACGTCGAAACCACAGTTTTCCTTGATGACCTAGAAGAGTTTCAGAAACAAGAAGCACCATTTACCCACTGGGTCTCATGCACGTTACGTACTTGAGAAATGGTGGAATGCTAGAGCCAGGATCAGAGAACACCCCCAAAGGAAGGACACTGAGCTGACAGGTGAGTAGAAATACTGCAGCTCAAATGATGTGAGGGGAAAACAACGTCCCTGTAGCATTCAGGCGGTGGAACAGGTCTTGTGTCATTGACCACAATGACAGAAAATCAAACCGAACCCCATTAAAGGGGGAAAGCCATCTATTTTTCGTTCGCCCAGCAGGTGCCTGAAAGCTCCTCTCGGTCTGGAAAAATGGAAGGGCACTTGAGAAGACGGGGGTCTCAGTCCTAATGACCGAGCTTGCACCTCCCCGGGAGGAGGGATCTCTCCTCTCAATATGAGGGATTGATTTTCAAAATAGTCCCCTCTGCTGCGTTAGTTCCTTTTCTGCCTTTCAATGACAAGAGGACATGAGTAGGTGAGGACCTTTTCAAGTTAACTGAGACGAACCAAAACAAGGGAACCATTTTTTTTTTTTTTAACAGCAAAAAGCTGGCAGGGCCATTTATGGTTCTAGTACGTCTTAAACGACAGGGCCAGAATAGGAGAAATGGAGACAGTCAGAGACATGGAGACATCAGAGAAGGAGAAGGAAAAAAACAAAAAACACTTTTGAGATTATCTTAAAGCACTTCAAAGGACTTTTTACAATCTCATTGTCCCTTGGCAAGGAAAAGTAGAAATGGTTCCCTTAACCCTTTTTTTTTTTCCAGTTGCCACTCCAGGTACCTTGGTCTTCCTGGTCGTCACCTATCGGTAGCACAGGTTGACTCTTTGGTGTTCATCAAATAAAGCAAAAGTCTAAAGTAGCTACCTGGAGAATGCAGCCTTTTCCCAGCCCCCACCCAAACAGTTTGGCCTCAACTATACCACGTTACGTCTGCAGAGAACTCACAAAAATGTTGATACCAATTTCCGGAAATAATTGCCCCATGGCTTCACCAAGATAAATGAGGTTTTCTCCTAAGCCATAGGCCCCACTCGTTAGTATTATTACTACTGTAATTCTGCTTCACAAGATAAAACAGAAAGGGTTTACACTTGCGTATCTCCTAAGCATGACAAGCAAAAGCATTTTTTTTTCCCCTAGACGTATCTTGATTTCTACCTCTCTCCTCTGTTAATTCACACGTCAACCTCAGACAATTCGGCATCTTATTTGATTTTCCCCCCAACGAGACCGTCTTTCAGGACTTTGAACTGCTGGAAAAACCATGTTCTAGACAATATTTTACCTGCCTGCTCATGCCTTATATATGAACTTGACTTTCTAGCTGAATATAATAAACATGCAATAAATCTGCAATGACTGCCACGATGGAGCAAAGCAAAGATATATGGGAGCGTACAGGCACATGTCACCATGCCCGGCTCATTTATTTTTTCTTTTTTCTTTCTTTCTTTTTTCTTTTTTTTGAGACACAGTCTCACTCTGTTGCCCAGGCTGAGTGAGTGCCGTGGCGTCAGCCTGCTCACAGCAACCTCAAACTCCTGGGCTCAAGCGATCCTCTGCCTCAGCCTCCTCCAAGTAGCTGGGCATACAGGCAGTGCTGGGCCACGCCATGGGCTCGGGCTAATTTTGTGCTATATATATCAGTTGACAATTAATTTCTTTCTAGTTATAGTAGAGACGGGGTCCTCGCTCTCTTGCTCAGGACTGCGTCTTGAACTCCTGACCTCAAGCGATCTCCTGCCCGCCTCGCTGGGCCTCCCAGAGCTGCCAGCAGATGGACAGTTGCATAAGGCCACCCGCCGCCCCGGCCTTTTTACTTTTTTTTTGTTCCATATATATTTTTAGTGGCATATTAAATTCTTTCTATTTATAGTAGACGGTAGTCATCTTGCTCTTGGCTG